CATGCGCACACGCACACACACACACACACACGCACACACGCACACACGCACACACACGCACACGCCCACACGCACACACGCACACACGCACACATGCACACACGCACCAACACACACATAGACACACACACAGACACACACAGACACACACAGACACACACAGACACACACAGACACACACACACACACCCACACCCACGCACCCACACACCCACACACCCACACACACACACACCCACACCCACACCCACACCCACACGCACACGCACACGCACACGCACACGCACACGCGCACGCGCACGCGCACGCGCACGCGCACGCACGCGCACGCGCACGCGCACGCGCACGCGCACGCGCGCACCCGCAGACGCGCGCACCCGCAGACGCGCGCACCCGCAGACGCGCGCACCAGACAGACACACAGACACACAGACACGCAGACACACAGACACACAGACACACAGACACACAGACACACAGACACGCAGACACGCAGACACACAGACACACAGACACGCAGACACACAGACACACAGACACACAGACACACACAGACACACACAGACACACAGAGACACACACACAGACACACACACACAGACACACGCACGCACACACACATGCACACACACACACAGAGACACACACACACAGAGACACACACACACACAGACACACACAGACACAGTCACACCCATAGACACACACACACACGCACACGCAGAGTCACACACATGCACATCCGGTATGTACGCTTGTTCGCGGTTGATATATAATTCAGCGTAATCGTATGGCTAAGCTTGATTCGTTACAGGTTGCCAGGCGCCCTTCGTCGTGCAGTTCCTTCAACCCGGCAGGAATGGCTGCTGAAGACTAGGTGAAGACCTCAGATGGGAGAACCGGGCAATGGCCAGCCGTCTGCAGATTCTGATGAGCTCCGGGCATGAGCACCTCATGTGCGTTGCCAGCCATATGCAACCCACAAGGCCATCCTTAGCGCGGAAGCTGGCCTGAAAGAAGCGACTGTCCTTGTTCATGGTTTTGTCCTTGTCATTTCCGTGTTGAAAGCTCCTCCATTGCATGAGGACTTGGACGTTTTACTATGCACCGGAATCCAACGCATTACTGTGGGTGTGTTTCTTCCACCTGACCCGCAAAATGATGGTTTTCCTTTTGGCTTCCCTCTACACACCACCAAAACGACTTGACCTAGGACGCAGGGGAGGTAGCCCCTGTACTAGGTTGGTCGCCCATATGGTAGGTTGGTTGCCTCTGGAACCTCCACAAGGGGGGGGGGGGGGCGCAATTTCGTGAGCTGCTCAGGTCAGAACTGTGACTTGCTGGAAGAAATGCTTTAGGAATTTCACTCGCAAGGACTTGTACTAGCAACATGCCTGGAGGCAAAGGTGCTCCAGCTCAAACTGGCGTCTTGCTCAAGCAATTCTTGCCAGGTCTCACCAGGGCAAGCCCATCTGAAAGATGATTGCCCTCTTTGGATCTACACCGGCGAATCCCCCAGAGAGAAAAACAACACACACACACACATACGCCCCTTGACAACTAAAGTCATTGCTGCCTTTTGTTACGCATATGATGGTGCCGACCAGAGGGTCTGGGAGATCAATTCAGTGCCATGTGCAAGTGATGCGCAATGTAGCCGTTGTGCGCAAACTTGTGACTGTGGCGCGGAGCTTCGGAGATCAATAAACGTGTTTTCTTTCGCATGCAAGCGTTGCGGCCTGTGAGTTTGGGGCGCAAGCGCCTGTGAAAGTAAACAGGACGTTCTGAGCCCTTGCATTGTTACTCTGTTGAACACATGTTTGCTGGCTTGGCTTCAGGTGTGCGGAAGGAAGCAGCACAAGACATTCCAGTGGTGTTTTTGGGGACTGGCTCCAGGACAAGGACATGACAACACCGACATGTTGCCTTTGTCATTACTGGGACAGTGATATTTTCTGCCATGCTGGCTTCAGGTGCGGTGGCAGCTGTAACCACTGTGACACATCTTGTGCCTCCAGTGGTTGCAGCAGGTGCTGCGCAACTTGCGGGAGTGGGCTTTAGCGCGGTCCGATCTGTCGCCACGCCTCTGCCCATTTTTCACCAGCCTGGGCGGCTTTCCGCGCGGATTCTCCGGCGTAACTCCGCAGATCAATCTGGGCGCACGCGAACCGCGCCCCGGGCTGTTGCTGCCACTTGCCCGCGGTGAGTTGACCAAGTCACGGTGTGAGCAACTGGCAATATTGCTAGCACACTTGTTCATGGTCATGCTGGGGAGATTGCTTTACGTGATATATTCCCTGCATCCAAAGGGCCCCATGTGTCCCAATGTCCATTGAGAGTTTTCACTTTGGTAGTTGAGGGAAACCAAAAGGGTTCACGAAATCATTTGAGGGGACCAGTTCGAGAGACCCCCATGGGTAAGTCACATTGGCACAGCTTCAGGTCTTGCTTTCGGTTGCAGCCATTGTCGCCGCTTTGACGCAGACTTTGGCACTGCCGTGGAGCTTTGCTGGGCTTGCCTTTGGGCTTCAATGGGGCTTCTTCCTTCTGCACGGGTGGCCAGAGCGTTCCTGAGACTCATTTGGCTTTGAGTTTTGAGGTTGAGTTACCACCAGCGTTCCTTTGGCATTCCTTTGGTCACTCAGGTTCTGAGAAGCTTTATGATGCTTCAGGACGGAGAAAGCTGTCCGCAACCTTTGGGGGCTTGTCAAAATTGGGACCCCTTTTTGAGATTCCCTTTGAAAGGGTCACTGCTGGGGTTGAACAAATGGTGGCAATATTTTTGGACCACCTTCGCTTGTCAGAGCGTTGGCTCAACATCTCGACCTGTTGTGTGTGTGTGTGTGTTTTTTTTCGTTGCTTGGGGACGGACCACTGTTGGTGAAACAAGGACATGGAACGCCACCGGAGGGTCCAAGTCCGCACTCGGGCCTGCAATTTTTGTTGGACTTTTCCTTGAAGACCACAAACAGAGGGGTACCCTCACCCATGGTGGCACATGTGAGTCAGGGCTCCTTTCACCTTTGAACTGTTTTGCTTTTCCAGGCTCGCTGACACACTTGGCGCTCATCGTGGCGGGCCTGGTGTTTGATCCTCTTCGTAGCCCTCGGCAGATCATGTTGAGCGTCTTCACGACGGTGTGGTGCACACGCCTTGGAACCTTTCTCTTCAACCGCATTTCGGCGGACAAGGAGGAGATGAGACACGCGGCAATCTTCTGGATCCTACCACTACTACCACTACTATCACTACTACCCTTACTACCACTACTACCACTACTACCGCTACTATAACTACTACCAATACTACCACTACTCTAACTACTTCCAATACTACCACTACTACCACTACTATTACTACTACCAATACTACCACTACTACCACTACCACTACTACTAATGTTGTTGCTGCTGCTGCTACTACTGCTGCTACTACTACTACTACTACTACTACTACTACTACTACTACTACTACTACTACTTGTCACGCTAATAAGGATGATTAATAGATATCAAATAATATATAGTAACCATAGTAATGATTTGTACTTATCATAGTTCATGCTGATACTCCTGATACCAATAATGATAATAGCAACAATAGCAACCGAAATGAACAATCATAGTAATAATTTAGGAAAACACATGTTAATGGCGATGATCATAATAATGATATTGAATAATAGGAATGCCAACAATGATAAGCAACAACCTTGACAGTTATAACAATGATACTAATAGTACGGATGCTGATGCTGATAACAATGATGGGTATATTATATATATATATATGTATGTATATTATAATCAGGATACTCATGATACTGATTATGATGAATCACACCATTTATGAACACGATAGTCAAAATCATGGTAATCATGTTTTGAGGTACTTGGTAGCCTGGGACATGTACCGTGGCGAAGTCGCAAAGCCATGCTCAGCTCCTGCCAAAGTTGGCCGTTGAATTCGGGGTAGGAAATCTTGGTTGGTACACCCAAATCCCCACTCAAGCCTGTCGATTCGGCTGGGGCTTGTGTTGAGGCTCGGCCCTTTTTTGAGGGTGAAATCACCCATTTGTTGGTTTTCTTAAAGTACGAAAAGCCCATGTGCATCGCCCTAAGAACATTCCAAGACTCAAAAAAGCAAGGAGTAAGGCCTGCCAGCTGCTGAAAAAGCAAGTTGCGGTGAATGACAGGCAGCGCAGCTCTAGGTCAAGTGAAGATTGCAGTTGTGAGAATCACTTAGCCGCCGAGTTTGGTCAAGTGGGTAACCCTCCCAGACGGTTCTGTTTACAACTCCCTAGGGCATTTGGCAGCCAGGCTACCAGCCCTAACTTTGCGCATTCGCCAGGATACCAGATTCACAGAGATGAAGACGAACTTTTGGTCGTTTTCGGTTGCATGGAACCTGCAAGTTCTGTGGGTTTTTCTTCTGCAACTTCCAGCAGCTTGCTTGCATTTAGGTTTGTCTCACTGGGACTCGTATGGCTGCTTCCCTTTTGATTCAACAGGCACTTCCGTGTTTTGATGTGTTTTTTGAGAGAGAGCCATGGTTGGGATTGGGACAGCTGCAAGGAACCAATTGTTTTAGAATCCGTGCGGCCTCACATGGTGAGATCTGGCGATGTGGCTTGAGTGCTGTCGCTCATCGATTGGCATTAGCCCAAAGCGGGGCCAAAGCTCCTGCTGTCGGATCTCAGATCTGCGATCCGTAAATGTGATACGGATGGTTCCCCTTGGCTTTCCTTGAGCTCACGCCCAAAAAGGGTAGCCTCAAAAAAGGGGGCATGTTGTATTCAGCTGCACGATGGCAGCTGAGTAACAATGGCTTCCCTCAGGTACTGGTGGTGAACACCGTTGGGCAGCCAGCCCTGGGCGTTTGGGATCTTCTTGGCTGGAGTCTGTGGTGCCTGGGGTTCCTGGTGGAAGCAGCAGGCGGCTCAGTTGATTGACACCGTCTCGCGACTTGCACACGCTCGTCTCGCGACACTCAAAAGAGAGCCCACTCATAAGGGGAGCCAACGCAGCCCACTAGTGACTACCAGTGACCTTTATTGTAGATGAACAACATACAAGTATTGGTTGACAAACCGCCTACCGGCGAGTGCAGGATGTCGTGCGAGAAGGGGCCATTCAGGATAAAAGGCCGTAAAGCTCCCTTAGCTCCCACCGCTATGGCTTACTCAGGTAGCTGATGGACAGAAGTTCGCGTTCCGCGGCACGTCCTCCAACAAAGGCAAGTTCATCACAACAGGGCTCTGGCGGTACTCGCGGCATCCCAACTACTTCGGGGAAATTCTAATGAGACCCGAAAGCACATATTGCCAGTATGCTTGCGCCCATTTGTCTCCGCTTCGCTTTTTTGAGGTTTCCGTTTTGCGTTTTGTTCTGCTGAGGTGGATCGGCTTGTGCACGTCATGCTGCTCCTGCATTACATCGAATCTGCAATGGTTGGTTTGGCTCTCTCCAGCTTTTAACGCGTTCCTCTTACTTTTCGTGCACGCCTCAGTCGAGCGGCGCCCAATCCCGATTCCTTTTGACGATCAGAGTTCCCACGCAGACCATGCTCGATACGAATTTCAACTTGTAACAAAGATGTGTGGCCACCTCCCCCACTAATGTTAACCCCGGATTAATAAACCCCTGATTAATAGGGGGGTGTCCCCTTTTAGTGGGGATTCATCACTTTTGGAGGGAACACCCCCCTAATAGTGGGACGGGTTTATTAATCCTGGGTCAACATTAAGCCCGGAGGGTGTGATTCCTTGGATCTATTCAAGAAAAGATGGGGCAGTGTCAGGAATAGAAGACTATGGCTAAGGCACACTGTGTGATAAAGCAATGTACCAACTTGAGGGCAGTGTCAGAGAGGGCGCGCGTTTTGTTCCTGAAACAACCAAGTATCTCGAACACCAAGCCCAGGCAGTTGCACAACAGCAAACAACAAAACACCCCTGGGTTCAAATAGGGTAGGCAAGCCTTTTAGGGGCTTCTACTACCTGGCTTGGGGGTGAGAGTAAAACCTGCCATTTTAGTAGAAACAAAGGTCAATGGGTTTGTGACTCAGGTCTCTGGTGTGCCAATGCTGGAGAAGGCCGGCGAAAAGAAGTGGGGCAAAGACCCGGCCTACAGACATTACATGGAGGACGGGCAAGTGAGAGTCTGTCGCTGTTTTGTTTTGTGTCATGGGGGCTTCATCATTCATTCAAGGGACGTCCTTGCCAGCTACTTGGGAGCAATTTGGGTAAGGGGGCTTATAACCCTTCTAGGGGTTAGTAGGTTTATGATCCCATTTATATCCAAACCAATCGGCGGCCAACTTGTTGCCGTTGCTTCTAGGAACTCATCAAACAACCATTGTTGCCACGTGGGCTATGGCTCGTGACCTGTTTGAGCGCATGGGGTTTCTCAAAATCGTGGATCCTCGTTTTTTTTTGGCGGGAAGCCGGCAGGAAACCACCCATGTGGCAGTGCGGTTCCCCTTTTTTGAGCAACACCCACGTGTCAAACATCGTGTTTGTGGGCGCGCTCAGAACACCTCCTGCATTGTACCCTGGATGCCCGCATCTGAGTACCGGCCGGAGTAGCACGTTTGCGCGACAAGAGTTTGCGCAACCGCCTCGCGGAGCCTGCAGTTTCAAAAGCGACAACTCTCGTAGCCCATGTGGCTGTAGCTCAAAAAGATGCACCAAAATGGCAGCTTGGTACACCCTATCTCCTAACTTTTGAGCCACACGCATGTGCCAACGATGCAGATTTCGAAGCCGTGCCAACGGAGACATGCGCCGTCGCGCAATTGGCTTGCCGTGGCCACGCAGCCGTTTCCTGCCAAGTACTGAGCTCACGTCAGGCCAGGCCAAAATTCTTTCTGCCCTGGCCCACTTGTGCAGCGCAGGTCTTTCGGATGCCCTAATCGGGAAAGCATCTTGGCTGAAGCGTCACATGGCCAGCCAGATCTATGCAGGTGCCAGGATTCCAGTATCACGGTCTCGCAGGCCATGAGTTTGGCTGTGTGTGTCTTGCTTCAAATCAGGGAACCCGTCAAACATGGTTACACAAAAACCCCCATGTAAATGACGTCCACTGGTTTGGGTCCCGAATGGAAATTCACAGTGTCAGCCTGCAAGGCACTTTTTGGCCTATGAGATGAATGCAGCACTAGACCTAGGCTGGTCACCGATGTTTCACCGAGTCACTTGGATCATTGGATCCGAAGGAGTCAATGTGGTAATCTTCACCACACTGCTGAGTCTTGTCCAGGGCCCGGTGCGCCAACATTGTGCTTTGAGTGCAAACTCAGCGGGCTGTGGTTGTCAAAACCAATGGTACCATTTTGGGGTAGGTGCACCACCCATTTTAGCCTATTTTAGTGGAGATTGGGATGTTCACTGGGGGTTAAGGGGTTTTGACCCATGGCCAACCAGGGGTGGGTCGTTTTCCTTGGTCCTGCAACCCAGCCCCAAAAAGGGTGCCAAGCCTTAAAAAGAGGCACCGTGTCCTTTCGGCGAAACGACCTCGGCTCACGCCGTTTGTATATACAACGCGCCTGGGTGGCTTTTCTTGAGGCAGGTAGCGCCCTTTTCGAGGTTGGCTCAAAGAACAATCACGAGGGAAATTGTCATTTTTGGGGGCTCCCCCTATGGCACATACCTAACTGCTTCCTTGCCCGAGGCGATTTGGCTTTTTACAATCCGCTTGTGCCCCAGCCGCCCGAGCGAAAGGCACACATCATTGGGACAGCATAAGCGAATTGCTCCTAGCAAGCCCTCGTCCCCGGCCCGGCGCCATTGTGCCTGGCACGTCCAACTGATGATGATTGACCAGGGTTCCATTTGTTGGTTACATACTGGACACAATTCTGCAGTCGGGATCGATGAGACCCTATGAATACAAAGGGGAACACCAGTTCCCCAAGTGCTGCGAACTCTGTGAATTTCGTCCGAATCCCAGTCTGCGCCAAACCAGGCTCGAATCAAGCGCTAAGGTGAAGATCCGGTATCCAAGAAGGGAGCGGTCCAGCCAGGCTCTTGGACTCAATGCTGTGCCGTGCCGTGAGCGAATACGGGAAATCTCCTCGGTTAACCCCACGATCGTGCGCAGCATACCTGTCCCCCTGATGAATGGCTCGGGCTTTTCTGACGACTTGAGCGAGTGTTTTTGAGAGTACTGTGTTCTTGGGTTGCTTTACAGGGATCCATCAAAACCACCATTTTGGGGGTCCGCCTATTTTGACGCATGGGTGGTATTAAATATAAGGGAATTCCAAAATGAGCAGCGGTTGTTAATCAAATGAAAGGGTTTATACAAAATGGGAACTCATGTACTTTGCGGAGGCAATCCTGGTTGGGGGCATAGGCTCGCGTAGGCTTCTGCGCGTAGGCTGGTGGGTCAACCCTCGCGTAGGCTGTGTCAACCCTCGCGTAGGCTTTTCGCGTGGCTCAATGCTGTTTGCCAAGTATAAGGGAGTTAGCTTCTGTTGCCTTCCTTCCGTTTGTTCTGCAGTCAACAGAGGCCAACTATCCGTCTCTGTCATATACCTTTTTATTTCTCTACCATCTATCCAAGGTACGCTAATCCCATCCATGAATCTACCAACCTATCTATCTATCTATCTAGCGATCTACCTTTCTATATTTATCTATCTATCTATCTATCTAATCTATCTAATCTATCTAATCTATCAATCAATCAATCAATCAATCAATCAATCAATCAATCAATCTATCTATCTATCTATCTATCTATCTAATCTATCTATTTATCTATCTATCTATCTATCTATCTATTTATCTATCTATCTATCTATCTATCTATCTATCTATCTATCTATCTATCTTATCCATCTATCTATCTGTCTATCTATCTGTCTATCTATCTATATATCTATCTATCTATCTATCTATCTATCTATCTATCTATCTATCTATCTATGTATCTATCTATCTATCTATCTATCTATCTATCTATCTATCTATCTATCTATCTATCTATCTATCTATCTATCTATCTATCTATCTATCTATCTATCTATCTATCTAATATATCTATCTAATCTATCTATCTATCTATCTATCTAATATATCTATCTATCTATCTATCTATCTATCTATCTATCTATCTATCTATCTATCTATCTATCTATCTATCTATCTATCTATCTATCTATCTATCTATCTATCTATCTATCTATCTATCTATCTATCTATCTATCTATCTATCTATCTATCTATCTATCTATCTCTCTATCTCTATCTAAATTTCTATCAAAGTATCCATCACTCGTCTATCGATCCATCTGTCTATCGTTCTATCTATCTGTCTAGTTTTCTGACGATTCAATCTTTCGATGCCCGTCGAGAACGTTGTCCGTCAGGCCCGTCGTGCCCGTCAAACCTGTCAAGCCCCTGAAGCCGTTGGGCCCGTCGGGCCCGTCAGGCCCATCAGGCCCGTGAGGCATGTGAGGCCGTCAGACACACTGCTCGAATGGTGGTTTTCTCTTTGGTTTCCTTTTACGACTACCCGCAAAAGGGTACCCCCAACACAAATAAACGCACACTTTCCCATTTACACCTCCTTTCCGAGCTTGCCAAGATATGAGGAATGGCTGCGAGCAGTTGGTGCAGGAAGGGCCTGGACCCAAAGTGCCTCGCGTTCGATGCGTCTCCCTTGGTTGGAATGGATAGTCATGCAGCCATTAGAAGGATCTCAGACATCCATGAAGGGATTCCGGGAACCATCAATTCGCAAGATTATTATGCGTTCCACGGTTCGTTGTTTCCCTCGCAGTTTCCCTTGTGGTTTCCCCAAGTTTTCCTGACGAGATGGACTTAAACCTATGTAACCATGGTTGCCTGGGCTGAACATCCCAGTCATATGTCAAAGGAACGAACCGTTTGTTTGTTTGTTTGTTTGTTTGTTTGTTTGTTGGTTCGTTTGTTTGTTTGTTTGTTTGTTTGTTTGTCTCGCTTAAAGGCAACTTGAACAGCGCCCCTTTAAGGAAATTATCCATTGTACGGGGTTCCTCTGAGTAGCAGGGTTGGGTGTGTCCTTTGTTTAGGTGCCCCCCCAAAACCAAACAAAACAAAACAAAACAAAATGGTGGCTTCTTTGTGGTTTCCCGCCACAAAAACGGGGTACCCTCAAAAACACACACCCAGTTTTCATCCGGTCCGTACTGAGGGGTGGTTCCCTTACGGAAATGATTCATGGGGGTGCCTTTGCTTGATGTTGACTCCGGATTTACATACCGTCCCTGCTAATCGGGGTGCACCCACAAAAGTGGAAAGGAACCACTAGAAGAGGGCACCCTCCTCAGAATCACCCAACAATTCTCACTCACTCAAGCTCGCACGGGGCCCACACAGGGTGCAGCTGTGGCTGTGGGTCAACACCAATGGTACCATTTTGGGGTGGTGGTTGGGGTACGATTTGGCTTTTGACCCATGGCCTTTTTTTGTTTTCTTGGGTGACCCATGGCCTTTTTTGTTGTTTTTTTGGTGACCCATGGCCTCTTTTTTTTCTTGGGGGGGGGGCCAAGGATCCCCAAAACAACGAGCACAGCTTCCCTGCAGCTCCAGGCAGCGCCTGGTGGGCACCGTGCAGCGCTTCTCCGAGCGAAACGGCGGCTCGCTCGATGGCGAATTTGGTTTCGGAGACAGCGGAGGTCTGAAAGGAATGTGGGAATGAACCCAGGAATTGGTCCCAAAGGAAACCACCAGTTGAATGGTCTTTTTGGTTATTTGATTTCTCATTCCCTGCATCTCTCGCAGCAGCAAGGTTAGGATGGGCGGAACCCCATGGGATGAACCACCTGATCCACAATCAGAACTCGGTCAGATGAAGGTTAGTAAGGGGCAGTCCAAGCCGGAAATAGTTGCGACCGCCTTTCTAATTCTTGAAGCATGGTTCTGGGTTCATCATTTGTGTGCCAGGTTTTGATTGTGACTGAAATGGGTTTGGTTGGTGTGGCTTCGTTTTGGTTTGATTCTCCAGGTTTGTTTGGTTTTGGTTTGTTTCTCCAACATGTGTTTGTGAAGTTTGATTGTCTTGTTTTGTGGTTTCCTGTAAAACCCTGAAATGGTTTCTCCCAAAGACCCTGAAATCGTGAAATGTTTCTTTTCTTCACCGCGCCAACCAATGAGGGGCATCCCCCAAAACCCGAGAAATATCGGCTTCCACTCGTTGACCCGAAGGCAGTGCACCCAGTACCTTAGGTCGACCTTACCTTGGGGAATCAACACAAGGAACCTGGCAAGCAGCTCTTAACCGAAAGTCCAGAGGACCTCCGAAGCACATGGTTGCACGGTGAGTTTTGTCGCGTCTATGCCTCGAGGCTTTCAGCGCTTTTCCAACAAGTCAACAACTACTCGAGCTGTCCGATCATCAAGCCTAGCTGGTCCAGTTTGCCAGGTTCACATTCACGTCAGGCCATGGCACATAAATAGCCCGGTATATATTTATCTTTCATTTGGTGTAAAGGGAAAAGCATTGGGTCAGGTACCAAATTACCATGCGTGGGACACCATGACGCCTGGCTGAGGTTCGTGGTAATGTAGGGTGAAGAGTGTGTGTGTGTGTGTGTGTGTGTGTGTGTGTGCGTGTTTTTTGTTTTTTAGCTACCACTTCAAGCCATAAAAAAGAGCAAACCAACATTTTTTGGATACCCTTATTTTGATGCACGCGTCCTATATGCGCCACTCGGAGGTTTTGATCAAGAGCCCGCTTGACAAGGGGAGCCATGTCACCTTGGTCCTTAATGGTCCAAGGCACTATTCGTCAGAGAACACATGCGGAGGCGCTTTTGAATCCGTTGGAGCCTGAGGATATGGATTCATCTCCTGCGCTTCCTGCAGGGTCAGAACCTTAGGAATCTTTCAGTCGTGATCATGCGGTCTTTAGGAGTTTGTCTGTAGGGCTAAATGGGCGGTAAATTGGGCCCCACCCATTTAGTCCTGTCACAGACGAAACTCCCAAAGAACCATTATCATATTCTGCAAACCGCCTATTTGTGTTTGTGGGAGGGGAGGGGGGCGGGGGTAGCACCTCAAAAATTGGATTCTTCCCCTCCTTTCGCTGTTGATGGGTCCATTGCAGGCGGCCCATGGTCGAGATGTCCAACTCTTCCAAGAAGACTGGGAGGCTCGGCATCGGGCGCATCGTTTACCCTTGGGTTGGTTTCAAGGGTTCCATTTCTTGGGGGGGTCCTTTTTTTCTAGATGGATCTTGCAGGGTCCTTCTTTTTTTTGGGGGGGGGGGATCTTATTTTGAATATTTGTTTTATTTTTTATTTTTTTTCGGGTCCTATTGCTTGGGGTCCATTTTTTTTTGCTTGGGACCAACAAATCATCCGCAAAGTCGGCTTTGTTTTGCCCCTTCTAGCAAGGTGCAAAGGGTGCGGAGCCTCAAAGAATTCAAGCAGGCAAAGTGCCTTGTTTTACGGGTGCCGTTTTCGAGCTGTTGCAAAGGGAAGCTGCAAACCCACGCAAAATAGGGGATCCAACTCTCTATGGATAGCCGCGACTTGTTTTAGGGACCCCTGAATGGTCCAAGAGCAGGAGTTCTTGGTACCCAGGCGCTGCAGCTAAAGATTGGAGCAGTGCGTGCCTTACTTTCGCGTCGCGGGTGGGTCGAATTGGGGTACAAAGCAATTGGCAGACACACCCACGTTGCCCTGCCAATGGAAGTGGACAGGGGGTCCCCCAAGAGGAAAGCAGTCTTCCAAAAACCCTGTTGTCAGCTTCCGTGATTGGAGGGGTAGGGGGTCAGGGGTCCTTGAAGTGACGTTCCCCCTTGCATAGAAAAGACGCCCATTCGGGCCATGGTCACCCCTACAATATCCGAAAATGGGTTTTCAAATACCCATGAAACATTTTCCTGGACACATTTGGAGACCACGACGCCCACAAAAGTAGCTTGGCACAAATAGCAGCGCCCGACACCGGAGTCCGAAAAGGGTCCTGCCTGGTACTAGTACGAGGGATGTTGCAAAGGCCTGGTTAAGCCTTTGCCATGTTAGAACTGCGGCATCCAGGGTAGAACTAGGGTCTAAGTCTGGGGGAAATCCACAAATCAGAGTTTCTCAAATGGTGAACCCTCCTTTTGGTTGGTTGTTTGCTCGAGAAACCAAACGGAAACCAAGTATCTGAGCAACCCCCCCATTTTGGGTGGGGTCCGTCTTCCTTCAAAGATCCCCCTTGAGGTTTTGAAGGGGGCGCCCAAAGGCCGCGGATTTTCCGGCGGCCGTTGCCCTCGCGAAGGTGGTCAGCTTTGAGTTGTCCTTCAAGGAGCGCTATCCATGCCCCAAGGGCAGGCCGCGGAAAGCCGTGGCCAGGGGGAGGGCTTGGGGCATCCGATTGGTGTTGGACATGCACGGAAAACTGGGGGCAACGACTCTTGGTTTTGGAGAGGGAAGGAGAACTTGGGGCATCCAAGTCTTACTGGTGTTAGACAAAGTGTTTGGATCGATTGAGAGAGGCCTTGGGCAACCTCCATACAGGTGGAGTGGGAGACTTAGCTTCAGAATGTGAGCAACGGCCTTCGACCTTCGTCCGGCCCAAAGTGACATCAAGCTTTGACTGAGGTAAAGCGCATCGGCTGAGCAGCAGCGAACCAGGCGCCAAGAAAAGAGAGCATGCTACCACCAGTATCAGAGGGCGCACATTGGGATAGATTTACATGGGTGTGTTCTTTTTTGGGGGGATCCCCCAAAGTGATGGTTTTCCCTTTGGTTTCTCTTCCAAAAACCACCAGAACAAACGGGCACCCCTAAGAAAGACACCGTTTAGACTGTTTAAGGTATTTTCCGCACTGAAACTTGTGGCTGCCTTCTGCTCAAAGCTACAGTGAGAATGCCCTCCAAAGACGGCAAAGCACCAGGAACATGTCCGCTGATATCATGTTGAGGGTGACCCCTTTTTGAGCCCCACAAAACCAGGAGGTACGGTAAAACAAAGACACAACATATCAAAGTGGTTGGCATTCTCATGGCAATGCTCGTCAAACTAGATCAGTATGGGTGCGTCTTAACAAAAGGGGACCCCCAAAAAAGAAGTACCGGTGTCCTCTTGGTTTTGCCTGCAACCCTACCCTCGAAAGTAGTTGACCAAAAGGAAACATCACCCAATTGTTATGGCTATGGTTCTCCTTCTGACGAACAAACCCATAGACGCGGCAGCTGGGCATCTCGATGGGAAAGAAGACGAAGCAACGCCATGAGTCGCGCGCGGTGGCAAAGCGCGCTCGACTCGGACTGCGGCCGCTTAACTGGAGAGCTGGAAGCCTCACCTTTTTGTGCGCGGGTGGTTCTTCAAGGGAAACCACACCACAGTTTCTTTTTTCTTGGGGGGGTGGCGGGCCCCCTAGTAAAAGACACACCCATTTGGTGGCCAATTCATTTGGGTGGAACCAATTCCTCCTTTTGGTGGTTGTTTTCTCTGGATCTTGCTTTGCCATCCAAAAAAGGGTTCCCCTATTTTGACTGGGTGAGTTTCCTTTGAAAAGCCCTCTGATCGACCTCGTCTTCCCTCTTGATCTCGCTGGTTTGGATCAGCCCAAGGGCGATTTTTTGGGGGTCCAAGATCAGGTCTTTGGGAGCAATTCGAATTCGGGGCTTTCGCGCGTTCATGGGCTCTTTTAAATTTAACAGCGTGCATTATGCAGGCAAACATATTTTTAACCGCCGCCCGATGGGCCGTTTCAAGTGTAAGAACCCGAAAAGAGCCGGAATTGGAAGACTTGACCATGCCTGAGGTCTTACACGCTTGGTTCGGCCAGGCTCGGGGAGATGAGGCTGGAGAGTGGCAGGCTTCGATTCGATGGGACCCGTGTTTAAACAGTAGCTGGTTGATATGTTGAAGCCAGCAAACTGTTTACATCACCTCCTTAGCGGAACTGGTTGTTTATACCAATTTTGCAACCTGGGCAAGTTTCTTTGAGTTTAGCATCCTGTTTTTGATTTGTGGGGACCCGGGCTCGCTCTTTGACACTCCCACTTGAAGGTTTTTACCTGGCCCCAAGTGAAACAGGCTTGGGTCAGAAAAAGGAAGGGGTCCCCTTCATGTTTATGTTGATTCGAGTGGTCCCCAAATTCTCAACCATGAGAGTGTGGTCGCGTTTTTTGATACCCCGATGCCAGAATTATTGGTGGTTTAAAGGGAGCCGAACGGAAACCACTCATTGTCATGTTTACCCCCCAATTGGTGGTTTGGGGATTTTGCGCGTTCTTGTGGGTAAATGGGAAACCACGCTCTTAACCACCGAACAGCCGATTCGGCTCCAAACCACCAAGAGGGAAGCGGTTGTCAAAAATAGGGTAACCCCAAAATGGCTTGCTCTGATAAATCGAACCAAGGACTAAACAACCTGCGGTCTAGTGAAAAACTTTGACCCATATACGCGCCTCACTCAAACCCGTAGATGAAGGTTAAGTCATAATCCCCAACTGCCATAAATGGTTGTGGGCCAAAACCTTCGGTGCCTTGGGGATGGTTACCTCATTTGTCTTTTAGAAGGCCCCAGCCGGGTGTTCACCAGACCGTTGACCCATAGCCAAATGGGTGCGGAGAGCCGTATGAGTTCTTGAAGCCCTTCTGGGGATCGACCATACTGTGGATTGACGAAATCTCAACCATGGTTTCAAAGTGGTGCGAAATGGGCTTCTGGTTATTCATGGTTTCATTTCGTGGTGCGAATTGTGTTTCGCAACCATCCACAGCAGCGATGGGTTTTTCGATCAGGGACTCCTCCTCCTTGGCCCGGCTGCTTCGGAGTGCAAATGCCGCCCGATCTGCTCGAGGACGCTTGCGCGCTCGATTCTGGGCAGATGGCTACTTGCTGCTCAGGCGGCGTTTTTTCTTGTTTTGTTACAGTCGACGCGTGGCCGATGTTTTTGTTTCTTCTCCAAATCTGAAGGTTTGGCACTTGACTGTTTCTGGCGGCAGGGGGTCCCCCAAAATGGCAACCGTTTCCTTGCATCTTCCCTTTCCCAACCCAAAAATGGGGCCCGAATCCCAGTTTGAGATGATCCCACTTCCAAGAAGGCTGCAGGTTCATTTCCCTTGTTCGTAGACAAAGGCTCGCACAAGCCGCTCGTTGTTGTTTGTCGGGTCCCATGTTGCTGGGATTTGTGGCCAGCCGCAGTTTTGTCATAACAAGCAAACTAGCAAACATCAGCATCCCAAGTGCTATTTGGTTGGATGATTGACCTTCAACGTTTTGGGAGGAAATGCCAGTCTTCCCAAAACTTTTATGCACAGTGCACAAGGGCGAATAGCCACCCGTGCGAGAATTTGCAAAGCACATTTGTGGGGGCTCAGGACAATGCAAGATGCTTGAAAACAATCAAACGCACACCTAGGATGCCCAGCATGTTGGGCATGAATGGATACAGGGGATGCTCGCTTGAGCCAACTCGGTAAGAACAAAGGCCGGAGTTGAGCATGGCTGGTCAACAAATATTCGGGGAGACCGACTACTCATTTGGGAGGGGCATGAAGACTTACAAAAAAATACAAAACAAGGGAGGCTCGCATGATGCAAGAATGCAAAAAGGAGCCGGCGAAACAAAGCTTGCTGGACATCTCAGCGTTCGGATTCTCTTCATTTTGAGCATTGCCTGAAGCGTTTGGCATAAAAGTCGTCTTCAGAGGGTAACCTCGACCTTGACACAGGGGCCTTCTGCCAGCGGAAGTTGTCCGGCAAGCACAGAGCTCCCTTCTTGCAAAGCTTCCGAGCTTCGGGCCATCTCGCGAGGACGGAGTCGCGGTTTCTGTGTGCTGGTCGCTGCGTGAGAGCCGAGAGGCACAGTTTTCTGTGGGCGTGTGGTTGTTTTGAGGCGACAGCTACCCTTTTCACCATGGAACAAAGGGAGACCTTCAGGGTAGCAACCGCCCATTTGTTGGGGTTTCATCTCCCAAAGTTTTTAGGAGGCCATAGCCCTACAGCATCGCATGTGAAGCACGCAGGACGCCGGTGCTGGACTGTGCTCGCCTGAGGTGCTTGCAGTGCTGAATCACTCAGAGCCTCGGAGTGGTTAGACAGACACAACATGGGCGGCCCATATTTGTCCCCTTTTGTCGATTTTTTGGAAGGTATCTCTCTTTTCTTTTTTTACATTTGGGTTTTAAAGGACAACAGGAAGCCACTATTTGTGGGTCCCCAAGAAAAGAGACACCCCATACCTCCGCTTTAAACATTATCCCTCCGAAAGCTGACAATCACCTTGACTTGGCAACCACAATTGACATTGATGGTGTTCATGATGGTGTACAAGATTGACAACTGCAGGGAGACAAAAAGGGAAGACTGAATGTTCATGATGGTGTTCAAGATTTACAACTGAAGGGAAGCAAAAAGGGAAGACCGAATGTTCATGATGGTGTTCAAGATTTACAACTGAAGGGAAACAAAAAGGGAAAACTCAAGTTGTAGTTTTTTTTTCTATTCACTACCGCCCTTCGACGCCCAGAGTCGGCACTGTCTTGGATTCCAAACTCCAGCCAGCA